CAGTGATCACGTTTTATCATATCCCTTATTTGGTAAAAAGTTATTTGTCGCTATAATCAAAATTAAAATTGTGTAAATAAATAGTATGTCAAATTGATTTGTTCGTTCATCACTCCTTTATCACTTAATAAAACGTCTCGTTCAACCTAGACAATGAATTTTATGAAGAAAATTAAGTTATTTTAATATTAGAAATCATTCTTAATAAAAAAATTGTGTTTTTTTCGTATCTTAGATTTGATATTTTCGTTCATGTATGAATTTTTGTGACTATCGTCTCTAATCTTCTTTTAGTATTTAATGTATTGTAATTTTGATTTATTTTAGTATTTTTATTAATTAAATCTGCTCGTTAAAAAAAATAAAACAGTGCCGGATATATTTCCCCATGTGCCATTTGCAGTGCAACACGAGATTCCAACTCGTAGTTGTCAATATCACACAACGTCCTGCTATAAAAACCAAACTCTTAGACCCTCAGATCCTTCCACTCATCTTCGTCCCCACACGCTCCTCGATCTATCCGCCGTTTCTCATTTCCTCTCGTATCTGAGCATCCTCTCTAGTGGCATCCATGGCTGGTTCATCGATCTCCATGCAACCTCGCAACACCCTTGTACTTTCTTCTCTCTTATTTCTTTTTAGCTACTAACTCATTTATTTCTCTTATTCTTTGTTGTATGTTTGTTATTTATTTTTTTGCTCCATCTGTTTGTTGTTTCAGTTGATCTGTTTCTGATTTTACTTTTTATGGATTTTAGTGTAATGTTGGTTTCTTGCTGTTACGGAGGCTTTGCTGTTCACTTTTCTAGTTCAACTTCTTCCATGGATGATTTGATCGGGTTAATCTGGGATTTGAAGTTTATAAATTATTTTCCGTATAAGAAATGTTTTCACTTGCTATTGAACGAAGGATTCATGTTGATTGGTGTTGCGTTATAGTTATTCGTTTTCTCTGATAATTATGGTTTTGGGTTTAACAAGTTCTTAGAGAGCAAAAAGCAACTAACCGTCAGGAGATCTGTTTTTGCATCTCAATAAGTTGTTCTAGAGAGGAAAGCAATAGATTCTGGGTATAATTCCTTTCTTAGTTAATAAGGGTTGTGGTATTGGCTTTTGGCTTTTCTGGGCATGATATACTATGGGATTATTTTGATAATAAGATTGAGTATCGCATACGAATGACATGATATATGGTAAAAATGGAAACTTTAGTACCATGAGAATTCACATATGACTTATTATTGTAGAAAGATATTTTGAGTGCATATGAAATATTAATATTATGCTGTTGGATTTGGGGTTTTTGTTTTTAAAGTGTACTAAAATAGGTCATGAATCACGATTGATGTGCGTAAGTAAAGTTTCTGTTTCGAGATACCTTTTGAAGATTGTTGTTTCTTCCAAAACTATTCCTTTTGTGTAAATTATTGGCTGATTTTTATGCTGTTGATCGTCTTTTAACAGGCTACAAGCAGGGTTTCTGGGTTGAAATTGGGTTCATTTATGAAGCAGGGAAGAAGCAGCCTCTCATTTACAATGCGTCCAATGCCTGCTCGCTTGCAGATTAGCTGTGCTGTATGTTTCTCACTGAATTCAATGATATTAGTTTCTATAGTATTTCCTATTGTAAATGTGGTAGTGATCATAAGAATACACTTTTGGGCCCCTGTTACAATATATATATATATAACTATTTCTCTTTGATATGTTCCAACTGGAGTTTCGGAAAAATATAATTAAACTGTAATGTTTTCTGTCATATTTATCATGCCGACATGAGTATTAAAATAATGTCATCTTCTGTCATATGAAGGGTTTGTTGTAAATATGCTAGTTATGATGTATAGATTTATGCAGAAATGAAATTTATACTTATGGTGAATAACATAATGATGACCCCTTGAGCTAAATGTCATTGTACAGGCCAAAAAAGAGACTGGATAAAGTTTGTGAAGTAGTAAGGCAACAACTAGCTATAGAAGATGACACACCAATCACCGGTGAATCGAAATTTGTTGATCTCGGAGCTGATTCTCTTGATACGGTTCTCTCTCATCTCTATAACCCTTGACATTCTACCCTAGATTTATAATTATGAACATAAAAGTATGTGTGCAGGATCAAGGGGATCATGAATTTGTCAATTAGTTGTTTCTAACTTGAAAGATCATTGCACGTAGTCCGTGTTATAATCGTTAGAACACCATTTCAGGTTGAGATTGTGATGGGACTGGAGGGAAACATTTGGAATCACTGTCGAAGAAGACAATGCAGAAAGCATCACAACTGTTCAAGATGCTGCAGATCTTATTGAGGACCTCTGCAGCAAGAAAAGTGCCTAGAAAACAAGTAGTTAAGTCGGACGGTTCGTATGCCGATATTTGATGTCTTTCTTGTGTGAACTTTTATGTTCAATATGTAGGAAAACTCGTAATCAAGTTGTTTGGATTATAGGTTATGAATTTTTATGTGTCACTTCTTTTTAGTGTTTTATTTAGACCTTCTTGTTTGTTGTAAGTAGGGCTGGAAACTAGGTGAGTCGAGTTTGAGTAATGCTAAGTTCGACTCGACTAAAAAATTCACAAGTTTAAAATTATTAAGCTCGACTCAAACTCAATATAAAAAATTAAAACACAACTTGACTTGAAAGCTCGCAAGCATAAAAATTTCAAACTTGACTTGAAATAAAAAATTGGAACTCGATTCGAGCACCAAAAAACTTGATCTCAAAATATTCTTAGACTTCGCACGTTTGAAGCTTAAACTTGAGCTCGAACTTAAAAGTTAAATCTTAAAGTAAATGAAAGTCTTATGTTATTTTAAAAAATAAGAATAACATATAAATGTTAATAATAATAATGATATAATTTTAAAAATCTAAAATTTTATATACGATAAACTACATCACTTTAGTTTAATTTTTTTTATATTTTTTCTCGTTAATTCAAAAAATATAATATTTGGTCATTTTCATTTTATTAAGATGTGATCATAGAGGGTTAATTGTCGTTAGACTTTTAACGGATTGTTGATATGATATAGTGAATATATAAAATTAACGAGGATAAATTACACAAATGATAACTAGTATTTGAGTAAATTTTTGTTTTATTCACTAAAACTTTAAAAATAACAAATTGGTCCAGACTATTTTAATATACTATATATATCAATATCACTCCTACCGCTCTCGCAAATCATGTTCTCTGTTCTTCAGGTGTGGTTTTTGGCTTTCATTACCTTTTCTTTTTCCTTTATATCTCTCCATGGATGCCACAAAGATTAACCCTTCAATAAAAATGTCGCTTTCTTATTTTCCAAACAGTTTTTTTCTTCCAATGTCTCTTTGTTTCTTCCACATAAATAATCATGGTTTCTGCAGCTATTAATCTCTATCTTTCACCCCTTGTTCCCAGCTTTTTACCCCATACTATTCGAACCAGAAAATAAAGACCAAAAAACAAAATTCAATTCCCCACTGTTCGATTCTCCGCTGTTCTTTTCCTCTTGTTTTTCACCATATAAAATGCCAAGAGAAGATTGGTACCTCAATGAATCAAACGGTGATAATCGAGATGAAGAGCACTGATATTCCGGAAAGACAAGACTACCATGAGGAAGAAGAATCAAAGCAGTAGTTTGTTGAGACAAGGAGAACTGAATAACAGAGTTCAATGTGCTTGCATGATCGATAAATGGATGCAAAAGAAAAAAAGTTTGCGGCGGCGGTTGTGAAATTAAGTCCTTTAAGATGGATCCAATATTGTTGAACTCAAGCTCGACGTCCTCAGATTCTAGCTGCAACGGCGGGTTTTCGTCATCAGAGTTGAATTCTTTTTACAGTGCAAAATCAAGACCGTCTTCGTCTCATTGTTACCGGCCAAAACACAAGGTGCTCGAAAAATATATCCATGTCGGTGTTTCAACACATAAGGAAACAAAGCACCATGAAAGAATTGGTTTCATAAGAACAAAGCCCAAGGCCATGAAGATTTACAGTGACATGAGAACTGTAAAGCAACCGATATCTCCGGGTGGTAAACTCGCAAGCTTCATTAACTCGTTGTTCACTTCGCCAAAGAAGACAATATCTCCAATGTTGTAGGACTGCTTCCTTTTGTGCCGAAGAGGTTATGTATTGGTTCAGATCATTCTCGTACATATACTACAAAGTGGTCTTGACTGATTTGTTACTTTTAAAATTTCGATGGAAAAAATTAAAATTTACTCAAATATTAATGATCATTTTTGTAGTTTACCCTTTTTAACTTTATTTAGTAACTGTGTCAATCCGTTAAAAGTCTAATGACAGTTAACCTTAGTGACCACATCTTAATTAAATAAAAACGAAAGTGACCAAATATAATGATTTTTAAATTCAATGAGGAAAAATGTATAAAACTTAAATGAAAGTGATTAATCATGTAGTTTATCCTTTAATATATTTTTCGAGTTGGTTGTGAGCTTTTTGAGTCAGGTTAATAGTAACTCGCTTCGACTCGTTAAGAATTCAAGTCGAACTTGAGTCAAATCTATTCAGTTTGAGAGTTGACTGAGCTTTGATCGAATCGATCTCGAATAACTCGTAATCTGTCTCATCTCATTTACAGTCCTGGTGATAAGGTACGAGGGATTGGACTTAGTTTGTTGAAAAGGTTATTCATGCTCAAATTAAAACCATGATTGAAAGGAAGCATTTAAGCATGAAATTAGTTGGGAATATAATGTTGAAGGCATAACTTTGGTTATTAATAGGAAACAACTTAATTGCAGCTAAAGTCGAAATTACTGATATCGCCACCGCAGATGTTTCCCTTAGTGATGGCTGCTTGCAAAGTTGCCACAAGCATCGAGCAGAACAGAATATATATTACATTGGAATAAAGTAGAATATTAAAAATTAAAAGTTACAAACCATAACATATAGTCATTAAGCAAGAGTTTGACAATGCCTACAAAAAGTAGCAAACCATGCGCTTAGTGGATAGTTATGGAGTAAATGAAAGCTCACCTCTTTTGTTTTGAGTAGAAACTACCTCCTAATCACATTATCATACGCCTGTGCTGTGGGCTGTCATCACATGAAACATGTAAGTTTTCCGGTTAAAAGAAATGAGATTTTTAAGTTTTACTACATACTCATGTTTGGAGAGTGGGTCCATTCCCTCCTATAGAGTTGAGGATTTGGGCAATGAGATGTTGTAGCCACGGTCGTAGCACTACAAAATTTGAGCAATCACTGATTTTTATTTGCTGCAAAGTTGAATAAGATCTTTCGAGAAGCAATCGTGGTAAATCTGTGAACCCGTCTGAATCCGAAACCACAAAAGTTTTAAGGCTCAGCTGAAGGATTTTATCTTCTTCCTCTTCTGGTTCCATTTCTAAACAAAATTTTGCACCAGCATACACAAAGGTCTTCTAATTTGGTTAGAAATTTCAGGCTTCGTGGCAACGAGACGAGATTAGGACAACCATCCAGAACAAGTCTTCGAAGTGATGTGAGATGCTGCATTCCTTCAAATAAACATTCTAATTGTCACATTCATAAAAGGCCAGGTGTGAAGTGAAGTCCAACATCCTGGTCCAATCTCTTTCAAATGCGAAGCTTTAATGGTTATTTCTAGATATCGAAGCTCAATCAAGCTTTCCATGTTGCAAGGCAATTGCATTAAAGGAACACCCCTCATTCTTAATGTTTGCAAGCACCGAAGCTGATCGAAAGAACTCGGAAGTTCTTTTATATTACGGCAATTGGTCAAGTCAAGGTCTCGTAAGTGCTTCAAGGTGCCAATAGAATTTGGTAAAACTGTCAAATGTGAATCACGTAAACGTAGTACTCGCAGATACTTGAATTTTGAGACACACAGATGTCTAAGAGACTCCTCTAAAACCTCCCGGACAATAACCGTTCGAACATTTTTCAATTTCTTCAAGTGTGGAACTTTTAGCAGCTTCTCATCGGTAAATGATAAATGTCGAACATTTCTGTCAACAAGTTCTGTTTGGGAATTCACTGTTTTACACTCTTTTTGTGATACATCTAGTGTAAGATCATGTATCAGATCATGCATTTTGAAGGTACAATACATGCCGTAATCCTTCTCCTTTTGGATGAGGCACCTTGACTGTAACTCGTTTAAATACCGATCACCAACATCTTCCCACTCTTGCTTTTGCTTTGGATGCTCAAGCAGATCATTTGCCATCCAAAACTGGATGACTTCGTTACTGTTATAGATCTCATCCTTTTTGTACAAGGACAAAAAAGCAAGACATCGCTGCAAATGAGATGGCAAATGATTGTAACTCAACTTCAACACTGGTAAGATATCGTTTTCGCTTTGCTCGAGTCTCCATATTTCACTATCTCTTATAGAGATCCACTCAGATGCATCAGTTTTCGAAAACAGTAGGCTTCCCAGTGTTCTCACTGCCAATGGAACCCCTTTACATTTCTTCACAATTTCCTCCCCGATTCTCATGAGATTTGGATGCCGACTCTCATCACCATCGTTGAAAGCCCATTTTGTAAACAAAATCAAACAGTCTTCATGAGGGAGACCTTTCAATTCATAAGGACAAGTTGAACTCATTATAGAGGCAACCTTTAAGCTCCGAGTAGTGACAATAATCTTACTTTCGGATAACCCACCCATTGATCTAAATAAATCCCTGAACTCAATCCATTTAACACGATTTTCATTCCACACGTCGTCTAGAACCAACAAAAACTTTTCATCATGCAAAAGATTTCTCAAACAAGTTTGCAAGGCTTCGACTGATAAATCATCACATTTTTCTCCTTTACTTAAAGATTGAATGATTAGCTTGAGCAATCTAGGAAGATCAAATTCATCAGACACACAGATCCATATCTTGAATGGAAAAAATCTGGTAACTCGATAATCATTATATACCAATTGAGTAAGTGTGGTTTTCCCTAGACCCCCAATTCCAACTATGGGAATGACAGGGATGTTCCAATCCTCACTCGGTTTCATCAAGAGATCAATAATGTTCTCTTTATCCGCATCTCTACCAATAACATCCGAAGAGTGAACAAAAGAGTGAGTCTGTCGGTGAAAAACATGTCGGATATTGGTATACTGTCCTAGATTAAAGCTGTTCCACTCAGTGGCAAGCTTGTTTAACCTCTTGTTGATCTCTTTGATCTTATGACCCATGTTTAAAGAGAATGAAAAAGGGAAACAACAAGAAGCTAAAAATCGCACCTTTTCATTGTTGTGATGATTGGGGTTGCGGAGAGCTTCACAGTAGAAATCATCAATGACATCTTCAGCATCATAAAAGATGTCTCTGAGCTTCCACATACAGAGGCGCAACTTCTCATTCTGCTGTTGTTGCCGCTCAGCATCCAAGAGCACAGCTTTAATGTTGTGCATCGTCTCCTTCAGCTCACCCAAATCGCTTTCCACATTAAAAGCCAAGCTAACTTCTTCTACCGAGAGATGGACTATTTTTCTCCACAACCCTTTCGGCAATAGTGAACAAAAACGTCTCCGCCATAATTGAACTCTGAGAGCAAAGAATGAAGAAAGACAATTTTTTATAGGGAAAGTAAGGTACTCAAAAATTATTTTTCATCTTTTAGCAAATATATCGAAGTTGGTTCGTAGTTGATTTGACAGCGATTTTCAGAGAAAAGACGCGTATACTAGTTTTTTGACTTTTCTTCGTCTTCCATTAAAGAGTGAAATTTAATAAGAAGAGGAGGGCTTTGAGGGAATTGGAATCTTGTGAGCATACAATTGATTCTGATTTAATTTGATTTAATTAGATTTGCTTTTTATTTAAAAATAATAATTTATGTGGATTTAAAAAATAATATTCCAAGTCAAGAGTACTACCTTACCCCCTCACCCCCATTACATAGAAGAATAGAAGAATAGTGTCAGTTAATTTTAAATTTCAAATCAAGAGTAAAACTAGAGAAATAATATAAACGATAATTTTTTTTTTGAAAATTGTGGATGGTTGGAATTTATTTTGAGATCTAGACTATTTGTAACAGTGTACATGGAACTCATCAAATGGGTGTGATGAGTTTCATTAAATATATCAAAAAATTAAAACTCGTCACGAGGCACAACAAGTTCAATACAATTTTGTTTCATATCAAGTGACGAATTCTAATTTTTAATATATTTTATAAAAGCCATCACGCTCATATGACGAGTTCCACGAACATTATAACAAATATCGTAGATCTCAAAATAATTTCTTGATTGTCCTATTGAGCTAGATAATCTGTCCGCTTAGTGTATTGGACCAATTTTGCCTCAAGTTAAGTCCATTTAAGATTTAGAATAAAAAAAGTTTGACTTGAATTGACATAATATTATAACTATCATATATATATATATATATATTTAAAATTAAATACAATAATATATCTCTCTATTTTATTTTATTTTTCTCAATTTGATTCGTTTTACTTAATATTTTTTAGATATACATTTAGGATAAGTCAAGCAGGTGTGAATGTAGATTTTGACCTAAAAATCGAATTAAATTTCAAGTCGAATGAAATTCTCCTAAACTTGAATTAAATCAAGTACGTTTAAAAAATTTTAATTTTAAGATTAGATTTGAGTGAATTAAAAACTTGAGCTAACCAGCTCATTATCATCTTTAATTGCAGCCGACTAAGTCGTGTAATATTGAATAACGAATAGAAGCAAGAAGCCAAAAGGCCAAAGCACCATGTTGTTGCTTGAATAAAACATATCTTCATCAAGTATGTGTTGGGTTGGCACCTCTAACTTTCATTCATTGTGATTTGTTGAAGTAAGATTTTCAACAGCAAACATGACTTGTTTCCACATCAAATAGTTTGTTTCATCATGTCTAATCATTATAGTTTTGTTTGTAAAAGGTTTTGACATGATTAAGATTTCTCACATCAAAGAAAATAATACAATACATTATAAAAACTAACGATAAATTTCATTACTGTTAATAAAACCGACCATTACTCTTTTAAGATAGTTAAAAAATTTGTAATGATGTTATATATATAACATATAAATGTACATAAGATTAAATTTATTAAGTTAAAATTAAATTAATAGAATATATAAATAATAATAATCAAATTTATAATTATATCAATTATGTTTAACTGTCATATCAACTCTTACATTAAATATTAATGATAAATTATTTAATTATTATTATTTTAATAATTAAGTACCATGATTAATAAAATTCATAGACCAATAGACAACACAGGCCTAACAATTACTCAAATCTAAGATTTTCATAGATAATTATTCTTTATTATTTTACTGACACAAAACAATTAACTTAACCAAGTCAATCTCATCAAAATCAAAAAACAAAAGGCATGAGTTGAGAAAGCCCCGATTATATAAAAGCCACGTCAACTTTAAACTTTGTGGCTTTTATCTTTATAGAGTAAAAGACTAAAAGATATTTCAATATGTAGTCAGTTAAATTACCATTGTACCCTCAGATGGGTGGTAGGGATATGAAGGCATCTCATGCGATTCACACCCGTTACGATAAATATGAATTAAATTCCTAAACAAACACACTCTTTCATTTCTAACTCTTTGTTTTCTTTCCTTTACTCTATAGAGGTGCCCTCAGGTAAGGCATCTTTTGACTTCCATATTCCCCTTCGTTTTAAAGCTTGTTCATTTCTCTATATCTTGAGCTTGATTTTGTTGTTTTCTCTCTTTTTATGGAAGATTGTTCTAGATTTTTCTTTTTTGAACTCTGCCTGGACTTCGCTTGCTTGTTGAATATATACTTTTATTATAATCATTTTCTCCTTGTGTAGTAACTTTGTATGAATCCTATTTGCTGGTTGATGAATGAAGAAATTAAGAAAAATATTAGAAAAACTGCATATTGAAGCAGATCTCCTTCTTATTCTTTTCAAAGTCATGATTTTCGGTTTAAAGCTTCGACCTTGTTGAATTATTATGATTGTTATTTTCACTTTGTGAGATAACTTGATAAGCTTTGATTCAAAGCTGTATGAATCTGTTGGGAAATAAAACGAGAAATTTTACTATAACAAGATTAGTGTTAATGCGAAATAAAAGTGAAAAAATAATATCCAAAATTGATAACGGAGTTCGACCACTTATGCCCACGTCTCCATACTGCTGTAGATCTTTTACTAAAAAAACAAAATTTGCAGGTGTACAACTCACAAGAAAACTCTCTAAACTATTTAGTATTGGGAGGGAGAAAGAAATGATTTGAGATGATTTTGAAGCTAAATGGGTTATGATATTTATAGTTGAAACTTAAGGACTAATCTTGTAAATACCCTAAATTATAGGGACTAAAATATAATTTTCCCATTACCATTGTTCAACAAAAAACACTGCCTAACTTTGAATTCTAAGCAGTCGTCGGCTACTGCCAAATTTTCAACACCGGCTACCAAAAAATTGATGGTTGTTGGCTGCTTTGCATTTCAACAATCTTTCACTTGAAGACTGATTTTAATCTGTCTTCACACCTCGATCAATGCAACAGCATTTCTAGTCTTGTTATTTTAGCATGTCAACTGAAGCTGAACATAACTTCAATTTTTCCGTAGTCACCGTCTTTGTTAATATGTCTGCCGGATTTTGAGCTCTATTAATCTTTTCAAGTTTCAAAATTCCATCTTCCAGAAGAGATCGGATAAAATGATATCTCAATTGTATGTGTTTCGTCCTGGAATGAAAAGACATATTCTTCGCTAGATGGAATACACTTTGATTGTCGTCATACAAGAAATTGTTTTCTTGTTTCTTGCCTAACTCTTTCAAGAAACTTTGGAGCCAAACCATCTCATTGCTGGCTTCCGTAATAGTGACATATTCTGCTTCAATTGTGGAGAAAGCAACTATCTTCTGTAGTTGAGAAACTCAACTCACTGTGGTTCCTCATAGAGTATATACATACCCTGTAGTGCTTCATCTGATGTCAACATTTCTGGCTAAGTCGGCATCTACATAGCCTATCAGTATCGTATCTCCACCTTTAAAACAAAGTGCTTTGTTTGTGGTACCCCGTAGATATCTGAGGATCCATTTGACTGCTTCCCAGTGTACTTTGCCCGGATTATTCATGTACCTGCTAACAGCTCATACTACTTGAGCAATATCTGGTCTGGTACAAACCATGACATACATCAAACTTCCAATTGCTGAGGAATACGACACATTCACCATGTGTGCATGTTCTTCCTCCATCTTTGGTGAATGTTCTTTGGAGAGTCTAAAATAAACACCTAAAGGTGTACTTACTGTTTAGCATCTTGCATGTTGAACCTAAAGAGTACTTTATTAATGTACTCGGCCTGTGATAACATCAAAGTCCCCGACTTTGTGTCTCTTAATTCTCATCCCAAGAATCTACTTTGCAGCGCCCAGATCTTTCATTTCAAACTGCTTCGACAATTTTTGCTTCAAGTTTATAATCTCTTGCATGTCTGAGCCTGCAACGACCATGTCATCAACGTATAACAATAAAATAATAAAGCTATTTTCGAATTTCTTGATGTAGCAACAATGATATGCTTGCCATCTGGTAAAACCACTACTACTCATGAAGCTATCGAACTTCTTGTACATTTTCTAGGAGCTTGTTTTAAACCATACAAGCACTTTTTCAACTTGCATACCAGATTTTTCTTGTCTGCCTTTATGAAGCTTTCTGGTTGCCTCATATAGATTTCTTCTTCCAAATCACCATGAAGGAAAACTGTCTTTACATCTAACTGCTCAAAATATAGATTCTCTGTAGCTATAATTTTCAACACCAGTCTGATTGTAGACAGTTTCATGACTGGAGAGAAAATTTCATTGTAGTCAATACATTCTTTTTGCTGGAAACCTTTGACAACCAATCTTGCTTTGTAGCGTTAGCTCTCATCATGCTCTTCTTTGATCCTGTAAACCCAATTGTTATGGAGCGTTTTCTTGTCTGGTGGTAATTCAGTTAATTCCCACGTCTGATTTGACATAAGTGAGTTCATCTCATCTTTCATGGAAGACTCTCACTTGACTGAATCCTCCACCTGCATTACTTCATCATAGCACTCTGGTTCACTATTGTCAGTAACAAGTAGTGCAAAGAAGACGAATAACGTTGAGTTGATTTATGAATTCTGGATGAGCGTCTTAGTTCTGGTGTGCCGGGTTCTTCTTGAATTGCTTCAGGACTGATCTGAACATCATTTCCAGAAATCTCCTCAAACTTAGCAAATTCCTTTGTTTCAGCTTCGATATTGGTGCTACTTGATTCTATGGTTGACCTGTTTTTGTACATCACATTCTCATTGAAAATGACATCTTTGCTTCTGATGATCTTTCTATTTTCATAGTCCCAAAACTGGTAACCGAACTCATCACCACCATAACAAACAAAGACACATTTGTTGGATTTGGCATCAAGTTTACTTCTTTCAACAGAATTTATGTGTACATAATAAATACAGCCAAACACTCTTAAGTGTGAAATGTTTATTTATTTCTTGCTCCAAAATTCCTCTGGTATTT